GAAAGCGAAACCATGGATAAGGAAGAACAGCTGTATTTAACTTTTGCTTTGGAACAGCCTTGTTCAAGGCATTCCCCCATCCAAGTTCGCTAGGGAGAAATAGCCCTGAGCTCGCCGGCTGTTCTGAGGATACTTTCTTTTCCCTCACAGTGACTGTGTAGATCTAGGGCCAGTTCAGGAGGGCACGTGACAATGCCAGGAACACTTAAAATGGGTGCTGGAAAGGAGGCTGGGTTTGTTGCACCCCAAAAAGATGAAGCGCATCAACAGAGGCAAAGGATCAGAGGCAGCTGAATCTCTCCAGGCCTGGAAGCCAAGGCTGTCACTCCTTTAAGGAAGGTGCTTCCTATCTGAAGAGCCACATCTGCATCCCCAGCGTGTTGTATAACGATGGACAATTAGCGAGTGTCCAGCCAACATGTGTTCACTACCTGAAGGGGTAGAGGATCAGCTGGATATGGTCAGTGATGAAACAGAAGGGATGCCAATGAGGGTCTGGGAACACCTCTGCCCGCCCGTGGTGACATCCTCCCTTCCCCAGGAAGGAGGTGAGGTCTGAGGGAGGCAGGTCACAGGGCCAGCCGGGGTGGAGTGGGGGTGAACTCCAAGCTGCTCAGCTTCCAGCCTTGCCTCCTGGGTCTGTGGGAATCTGTTGGACAGTCTGAATGCTCCCGCCTCCCACCTCCCGTCCTGCCAGTCCTTTGAGGATGCAATCCTCTCCTACCTACCCCATCCTCCTGGGACAGTAGGGTGGGCTGGAATGTCTGTGAGGCCTTGCCCTGCTCTCTGCAGCCTCAGCCCCTCTCCTCCAAACTTTTTACGCACAGGTATTTTGGTGTGTGTGATTCTGTTGCCCAGGCTGGATTGCAGTGGCGTGATCACAACTCAATTCAGTCTTGATCTCCTGAGCTCAGGCAATCCTCCTGCCTCAGCCTCCCAAGTAGCTGAGACCACAGGCATGTGCCACCATACCCAGCTAAGTTTTTGTAGAGACAAGTTCTCGCTATGTTGCCCAGGCTGGTCTCAAACCTCCAGGCTCAAGTGATCCTCTTGCCTCGGCCTCCCAAAGTGCCCAGCCTAGGTGGTGCTCTACTGTTTGCTCTCTTCTGCCACCTGTTACTTCCCAGAAGCCTCTCCTGTGTGTGTCTTTTTTGGAGAATGAAAGTCTACCTATGTCTTTATTTCCTGCCCACACAAACTAGTCCGATTTGGGAGGCACAGCTGGGGTCTGCCAGGTTTGGTAACCAAGCACCGCTGTTCAGATGCTCATTCCCCACTTGCTGTGTACCTAGATGGAACTGTGTCTGAGAAGAGGAGCTGAGTCTGAGATGCTGTTAGTGATAGGAGATGTGGGTTTGATGGAGGTGCTCTCCCAGGGGAACAGAGGGGTGTGTACATTCAATTGGTGAGGTTGTGCTACGTAGTGATGGGACTGGACTGTGGCCTTTTTTATAGGAGAGAATCTGTGTCAGCAGCTGCTAGACGTCCATCAGGGCAGCTGTGTATCCTTCCAGTCAGAAGGCCGGATCACACCGTCCTACCAACCTACACAGGCTAGAAGGAAATCACCTGTGTCTCTCCTCTCCACATCTCCCCCTCCATACACACACATACACCACCACCAGCAGTGACAGGCCTGGAGAGCTTACTGGGAACCATCTTACCTATTTTCTTCTTGGCTTCCCTTCCGGTCGAGAGGGAGAAGCTCAGACAGGCTGTGGAAGACTGGTAGACCAGTTGGTAGGGTGAGTTCACCCCCATGGTTGAGACGTTCACGGGGGACTCTGGAGTGGAAAATAGAAGGGATTCTTCTTTTGTTTTTAATTTAATTTTTTAACCAAAAATGTAACACGGACTTGTTCTAGCAGTATGGTGAGTCAGATGCTCTAAAGTGCCCTGTTGTTACAAAACAACCAGAACCCAGAAGAAAGAGACTTTTCAATGCATGGACAGGCTCAGAGTGATTAAGAGACATCTTTAAAGTTCCCTCTACACTCCCCCACCCCAAATCTCTCAAGGGGGAACAAGAGCAGGGAGCAGAGAGCAAGCACAGAAGGTGACATTGCTCTAAGGACCAGAGTGGCACTAGGTCCAGAGAATAAGCAAGACAGGAATTAAGTGCAGTCTTTCCCCTTTATCCAAGCCACAGAAACCAGATGCTTCTTCAACAATGTATCAGTCTCTTGCAGAACCACACCATCTTGTGTAGAATCGTTTGCTATCTGGCCACTTAAAATTTAGCACCGCTATGGGTAGTAGAAAATGTTGATCATTCTTACATAAAACTCACCAAATCACTTGCTTATTCTTCCCCCAAATATGGTTATTTCATTGGTTAGGCATGAAACTGTTGTTGGGAAATGCTAAACAATTTACTCATCACAGCTCGTTCGAATTCATAAAGAAAATGGCAAACCTGACCTCATAAGTAGACAGACTATAAACAGAGACTCCACACTAAATGATAAAACATGAAAACAATCACCTTTGCTAGCGATCTGAAAGTTCAAAGTAGAACAACTTTCTTTTTTTTTTTTTTTTTTGAGTTGGAGTCTCACTCTGTCACCCAGCCTCGACCTGCTGGGCTCCGACAATCCTTCCGCCTCAGCCTTCCAAGTAGCTGGAACTACAGGTGCGCGCTACCACGCCTGACAATTTTTTATTTATTGCTTTGAACAACTTTCAAAGAACAATAGCCAGTGCTGGTAAAGAAGGAATAAGATCCATCAACCCTGCTGGTAGAGAGAGCATCTTGTATAAAGTGTTATTAGGGAGAAGAGCTAAATGCATACTGAGACCTCTGCTCCAATCCTCCTGCCCCTGGGAAACTAACCAACACAACAGGATCAGAAAGCAATGTGCAGAAGGTTGCCTATTACCACTCACATCACACTAACCACAAAAAGCCTGCAGACCTGAGTATTTAGATAATAGGGAACAGGAACATTAGACGGAGTCTGCATCCACTCAAAATGACAATTATTAAAAGTATATAGCCTGTGGAAAATATTTGTAGACTGTTAAGTAAAGGAAATTGAAAAACAGAAAAATTGCAATACCCTAAGTATGTGTGTATATACATACACATACACATATATGTAAATCTAGATGCAGGAACACAAGAACCATAAAGGAAACTGCGGTGAAAAAAAGTGAGAAACGGCTCCTATGTGAGGTGGTAAGACTGACTGGGCACAGTGGCTCAGCCTAAAATCCCAGCACTTTGGGAGGCTGAGGCGAGAGGATTGCCTCAAACCGGGGGTTCAAGACCAGCCTGGGCAACTTGGTGAGACCTTGTCTCTACAATAAATCACAAAAACTAGCTGGGCGTGGTGGCGTGTATCTGTAGCTCCAGCTACTTGGAAGGTTGAGGCGGAAGGATCGCCTAAGCCCAGCACGTCGAGGCTGCAGTGGCCATGAGCATGACACTGCACTTTAGCCTGGGCAACAAGAGTGAGATTCCAACTCAAAAAAAATAAATAAATAAAAGATGGTAAGGTTATTCTTTGTTGATGTTTTATGTAATAATATAGCCATCAACTAAAAATAAAGGAGCAGCGTAGTTTTCTTTAGTGGCAAACCAGGAATAGTAGGTATAAGGACAGAAGGAAACACTACTTTAGCAAAGAGTATATTCTGGTCACAGCTTTAAGCAAAAGATCCATCACAGCTTTGGTCTACCTCACACAGAAAGATGGTCCAGAAAAACACAATTTATGTGAAGTTCATCGACATAGTTTAATGCCTCTGGAAAGCTATCTAAGTACTGCAAAGTCCTTCTAGGATGAATGAGTGTTTATCCAAAAGAAATGGATAACTCCTTAATTTCTGTATTGCTATTTAGATTTTTGTTTTCAAACTGTAGGCTTGTGTAAAGGGAGGAGTGTCTACACCAGAATGGCCAATGAGAGAGAGATTTCCTGGGAGTGGGATGGAGGGGGCATTCTCAGCACTGCGCTGGGACAGGACAGCAGGACACAGAAATTACCCCAAAGGCTCCCAGAGTTCAGCTGAACCCTCTTTCTATTCTCCTCCACTAGATTAACCCTCTACAGGGGTGATGCTGAGTGCCAGAAGCCACTGTGCCTTAAACATTTCATGAGATGGAGTGCCACTGGTGATGGAGTGCCTGGTTTCCTTTAAAGGTGACAGACAGAACATTCTGGGAGGAGAGTGCCTCAATGGATCTCTAAGCCCCGAAACAGAATGCCAACCAGCACCTGAACACAGGACTGCAGGCAAGTGAGGACTTGTCAGTCAGAGCCCAGTGGATCCAGAACAAGAAGGCGGGGAATAAACTCCCATAAATGGAGACCTCCATTTCAGGGTAAAGAGTGGGGGAAATTTTTGTTTGTTTTGGGGTTTTTTAAAAGCAGGATTTATTGAGAGGACAGAAAAGATCCCACAGTGGGAGGGGACCCGAGGGGGTTGCCTGGGGGGAATGTTCTATCTGAATTTGGTCTGAGAAATGGAAATCGACATTTATCAAAATAACCCTCTTTTATCTTAGACTGAAGAAACATGGGTTACTATCGAAAGCACATGCTAATCACATGTGGGAGTCCCTTGTTTTCTGAATGATTGTGTGATGGCAGTAAAACACGAGCCCCTTCATGTTTACCTTTTGTAAGCTTATTCAAGGGCTTTACTACTCTTTATTTTTAACTCTCTCCTGTCTCCACAAAGCCATGGGCCCTGCTTTGAGGGTCCCTTCCTCAGGGTGAACGCGTGTTGCTTGGTGGCATCGGCCCTCGGGGACATCAGACGGGACCCCAGCAGCTCTCCCACATCACTTTCATTGACTTCATGAAATCCAACATTTTTCCCAAGATCTGCAATTGTACTGTGCAATTTATCTGCACTGTAGGTGTCCATTACAATCAGATATTTAACCTCTGACTGTCAGGGAAGACTGACAAAGACACTGACTTAGCTGACAGGGGGAGAGGTGACATGGGACTGATTTTACAGGTGAGAGCAAATGGTTGAGAGATGTAATTTTTTAATGCTTCCCTATATAAACTGCCAGAGAGTACTTTCAGGCATTCTACTAAGCACTGGCATGTCCACCCAGTGTAAGACACAAAACATTAAGGAGCAAAAAAACAAATAACGTGATTTAAAAATGGGTTAAGGACCTGAATAGATGTTTCTCAAAAGAAAGGACACAAATGGCCAACAGGTATTATGGAAAAAAATGCCCAACATCACTAATCATCAGAAAAATGCAAATCAAAACCACAGTGAGATATCACCTCACACCTGTTAGAATGAATATTACCAAAAAGAGAAAAGATGAGTGCTGGTGAGGGTGTGGAGAAAAGGGAAGCTTTGTACATTGTTGGGGGGGGGTGTAATGCATATTGGCATAGCCATTATGGAAAACAATATGGAGGTGCCTCAAAAAATTGAAAATGTCACTACCATATGATCCAGCAATCCCACTTCATCCAAAGGAAATGAAATCCATGTCTTGAAGAGACAGCTGCACCTCCACGTTCATTGCAGCATTATTCACAATAGCCAAGATATGGAAACAACTCAACTGTCCATCAGTGGATGAATGGTCAAGCAAAATATGACACACACACACACACACACACACACACACACACACACACACACACACAATGGAATATGGTTCAGCCACAAAAAAGGAGATTCTGCATTTGCTACGACATGGATGAACCTGGAAGACATTATGCTAAGTGAAATAAGCCAGACATAGACAAATACTGTGTTATCTCACTTCTGCGAGGAATCTAAAGATGTCACACTCATGGAAGCAGAGAGTGAGTGGTGGTTGCCAAGGGTTGGGGGCAACAGGGGGTGGGTGGTAAGGAATGCGGAGATGTTGGTCAATCAGTACAAACTTTCAATCTTAAGGAATAGGTTCTGGGGACCTAAGGTACAGCATGGTGCTATGGTTAATATTACTGTATTATATACTTGAAATGTGCTTAGAGAGTAGATCTCAAGTGTTTTCACCACACACACATATACACACACACAGTAACTATGTGGGAAAAAATTAAAAATAAACATTAGAGATATGACCAAACTGAGATCATTTTCTTGGATATCCCCTTCATGGTTTTGTACTTTGTGCAATGTACCTACAAATGACATATTATTTCGCATGCTTCTGAACTTTTAAAAACAGCATCATACCAAATGTTTCCTTCCCTGGCCCCCCTTCTTTTCCTTAACTCTATTTTTGGAGACTCATCTCTATGGACATGCATGCCTCAGAGACTCATGCGTTATCACTACTCATTATATCCCTCTGTCTACAGAGACCATAATTGACATATTTATCTACTGTTGGTAGGCATTAGGATCGTTTCCAGTTATTTTTGCCATTCCAAAGAATTCTGCAATTAATGTTCTCCCATGACTTCTTGCACACGTGTGTGAGCTTCTCTCATGCCGCTCAAGTACAGCCTGTGACCAGCACCAACCTCTAACAGGCCGGGACCAGGTGAGCATGAAAACCAAGACTGAGCACTGAAATACCTGTGCAGCAACTTGATGCTGCTGTGCCATATTTATCGTGTGGTTAAAGGGGTCAGTCCACAACAGACTGGACGTTTTAAAAAGGGGCCTTCCCTGCAAATAGTTGAGAAGCACAGCTCTGGGAACGACCGAATGAGGAGCTGCTGGCTGTAAGATGTAGACACCTGGCAGATACCACCTCTGCTCCCCACTCCACAGGAATCCCCTGACTCGCCCATTCCTCCAGAGCATGAGAGGCCCTGTCGTTCCACATCTCCCTCAACTATGAGAAACGTCACACTTCACAACAGGGTTTCACCGTTCCACTGCACTCTTGGTATCGTGTGTACTTGCCATCCAGGGGCTGACGCTCGAGGACCCACCTTTGTCCATCTGTCCCCCGCCGTAGTCGCTTTTCCCAACCGTGCCGATTAGGCAGTTGAAGGCCATCTCCTTGGCATTGAGGTGGAGCAGCTGGCTGGCCTCCACAAAGCGCCTGGTGATGTCCAGGGGGTTAGCACCTACTAAAGCAATGATAAAAAGCCTCACATTTTCCTCCCAGCATGGGGATCATGCTTCCAGAGAAGGACCTCTGTCAATGCCCCGGGAAAGGGGGATACAATGAAGACCTGCTCCGAGGGCAAGCCGGCCTGAGGGGGCTCTCAGTGAAAGGGTCCCAAGCTCTAGACCCTTCGGGGTGCTTTGCTCTCTGCCCCCTTACCTACATCTCTTCCTACCCCCGGGCCTGGGTACTGATGCTAGTGGTCTCTGAAGTACTGCAGTATTCCGAAGAGTGAAATACTGGTGCTGCTCTAGGTCCTGGCTTTGATCCTGGGATGGCACCTTACCTTGGAGGAACCCCAGTTCTTAGAACTCCCCCTCATTCTGTCTCTGCTGGTCCTTGTCTGGCTTTCTCCCCACTAACCCTCCCACACGTCACCCGCTCCTGGAAACTGTCTCTCTCCACCTCAGCATCGTTCCCACAAACTCTGCCCTTCAGTACCTCTGACCTCCCACACTTCCCACAGCTCATCTTCCAATCTGGGCTCGCAAAGCTGGGGCAATGGGAGGGAAAAAAAGAGAAAGGAGTAAGAGGATGATTTGGGGAGGGTCGGAAGGACAGAGTTCTAGCCCTGCAGGAGACCTGCAGCTATTTCCAGCAGCTGTGTATTAGATGCCTGTCTGTGGAGAATGTGATGGGCACACACACACACATCTGGACAGAAGCAGAGAAACCACCGTCAAGCCAGGCTTACCTGACACAGACTCCACCATGGCCTTCATCTTCAGGCTGAGGAGTTCTGTTAGCAGGTGGATGGACTGCCGCTGAAACTTGTGCAGGGTCTCCTGGCTGGCGGGCACTGGGCAGGGCAGGTTGGCAGAGGGGCTGGACTGCTTGGCTGCCCCAGTGGCTCCTGGCAGTGTCGGCGGCAGTGGTGCTGGCGGTGGTGGTGGCGGCTTCTTCTGGTTGGGGACCTGCACGGGGATTGATTCCACAAGCCCCCCCGGGGGGGAGCCAAAGCTGACCTCCAGGCCCACGATTTCAGATGGCGTAGGCACCGCGGGGTCGGTGATGAGCTCCTCCCAAGTGAACTCGAAGATGTTTCTGATGCCCTTCGGTATGGAGATGCCTGCATTCCGGCAGATCATGAGCAGCTTGGAGATGCGGGCCAGCAGCCTGGGGGCGGTGGCCAAGTACTGCTGATACAGTTCTTGGTTACTCATCATGTAGCATCATGGAGCTGGAGTGTGCATGCTGCTAGGTGACACTATCCATCTCAGAGGAGAGGGACTTTCCACTGGAAAGAGTCAGAGCGCTCTGACAAGTGATGGAGAGCACACGTTCTTCCCTACAGTGAAGCCATGGACACAGACGCAACGGGAGTGTTGAAATAGTCCTCACAGGTCATTGAGCCAGTAATTCCTATCTGGGACACATAAGGAAATAGGTGGTCACTCTCCCCACAGTTGGACAAAGGGATTCCCGCCCCCTATCTTTCCAGAGACATCAGTGTTAGCACTTTCAGAAGGACCTGGTGATGAGTATGGCTCAAAAAAAAAAAAAAAAAAGCTTAGGCCGGGCTCAGTGGCTTCACCTGCAACCCCAGCACTTTGGGAGGCCGAGGCAAGTGGATTGCCCGAGCCCATGGGTTCAAGACCAGCCCGGGCAACTCGGTGAGACCTCATCTCTACAATAAATCAAAAGTTAGCTGGCCATGGTAGTGCACGCCTGTAGTTCCAGCTACTTGGAAGGCTGAGGCAAAAGGATCGCTGGAGCCCAGCAGGTCTACCCTGGGATGGCCGTGAGCGTGCCACTGCCCTCCAGTCTGTGCAACAGAGTGAGACGCCAACTCAAAAAAAAGGCTTCAAGGATGGTTGAATAAACTGAGCATAGGGCCCAGAGGGCTGGGCAAGAGAGAAAGGCTCCACCGCATCTTTCATCATTAGAGCACCTGGGGTAGAAGATCTGCCTGTTGTCTATTGTTAAAAACCTGCAAGAACAAAAAGATGTGCCACTGGCTCTCCTGGTTGCAATGCCAGAGTGAGCACGGAAGTACCCAACATGTACACCTAAGGGCAGGCCAAAAAGAATGAGGAGAATGTGTTTTCTTAGCTCAATTACTAATATAATTTATCACATTTCCTCAAATCCAAGACATCCTTGATCAAAAGATGAACCATCTTATAAGAAGGAAAAAAAGGAACATAAGGTGCCATTGACTGGAAGATGTATCTCACTTTCAGAGGTGCTAAAGTGTAGAAAATGCACACTTGAAAATCAATGGACTATGATAAATATTTTCCTGTTTCGATACTATGGTGATGTTTACTCTGACATATTTCTAAATTGTGTTTTATTCTTACCTTCCTAACCTTTGCCAAAAATAGGCGGCTACTTGAAGAGACAGAGTACAAAGAACAATTTAATGAGCACAAAAATGACTAGAAAAACCGGCAAATACACTTTTAGGGTTTTGTAACCAGATCTAAAGGTTTCATTTGTCTGATCGAAATGAATCCCATAATAATAGCTTTCAGTAATAAATCAATCTAAAATACAGTTATAAAAACATAAATCTACTTTTAATCTTATGCTAAAAAATGAAGATTTATTTCTTGTGATTCCTGAGGGAGGAACTATGAACAGAGACTCAAGAATCCAGAACATACAGGAAAGATCAGCCTGAGGGAAGCTTAGATCAAGGGTCTGTCCCTTCTCTGATGGCCTTCACAGAATCTTGTACCAGCAAGTTGGCCGTGTTTTCCCCTGTCAACGGCCCAACCAGCCCGTGTGCCAGGAATGCCGGCCGTGAGGGCAGAGGAGGGGCCGCTGGCCGTGCCCTCCTATCACACCTGTCAGTCACCGCAGTCATCCAACCATCTCTTCTAGCACCTTCTGTCCAACCACTCCTGCCACTGCCACTTCCTCTTTTCCACCAGACAGTGCTTGTTCTAGCTCTTTTCAAACTCTGTTCTCTGGACCCACCCCAAGTTCGCCAAACCAGGACAGCTCACTGGGTGCCCACCTTCAGCGCTCACAGGGCAGGTTCACGACCACAAACTCGCGTGCCCACTCAGTGGTGAGAAGGCTATCCTCTGAAGAACCAGAGCTCTTGCTCAGGAATCACTGGGCTGTAGACTCCTGGCACTGAGGACTGTCAAACTCCACACTACTTCACGGCCTTTGAACTGCCTCTGCCCATCCGTCAGTAACAATCTCCAAAGAATAAGAGTCCCATAGAGCAAGCCCTTCTGGCATCCTGCTGGTTTGCAGATAAAACGGCCTCCTATGTCTATTTGTCGACCCCCTGACATCCCCAGTCCTCAGCTATGCAGACTGGGAAAAATAGATTCATTTTTTAAATAAGTCAGTAAGACAAAGAAATCATTCAGAATCCTGGTCATTTGGGCAAGCAGCCAGAGGGATCTGACCCTGACTGCACAGGGCGGTTTTTTTTAAAGTTGGGACTCAAATGAGAAGAAGGCAACTAATACAAGTCTTGAGATATTAACTGGTGTGGGAAATTTGTCCATCTGTCCCCGCTCACCACCAGTTCCTTTCTTTTGAAGTTAATTTTGAAGATATTTCTTACAAACAGATAAAAGCCGGGTTGTTTTTTTTTTTTTGAGTTGGAGTCTCACTCTGTCACCCAGACTGGAGTGCAGTGGCTGCTCCCGGCCACCGCAGCCTCGACCTGCTGGGCTCCCGTGATCCTTCCGCCTCAGCCTTCCAAGTAGCTGGAACTACAGGTGCGTGCTACCATGCCCAGCTAATTTTTAAATTTTATTTTATTGTAGAGATGAGGTCTCACCAAGTTGCCCAGGTGGGTCTCAAACCCGCAGGCTCAGGCAATCCACTCACCTTGGCCTCCCAAAGTGAGGGATTACAGGCTGAGCCACTGAGCCCGGCCAAAAGCCGATTTTTAAAACAGCTTCATTGAAGATATAATTCACATACCATATAATTCACCCTTTTCAACATGTACAATGGTTTTTAGTATGTATTCACAGAGCTGTGCAACAAACGTCACTATCTAATTTTAGAACATTTTTATCACAACCCATCCCACCCCCAGCTCCTCGAAGGTCACTTCCCATTCCCCTCACTCCCAGGAAAACATTAATCTAGTTTCTGTATCTATAGATTTGCCCATTCTGGACATTTCATAGAAATGGAATCATGCAGTATGTGGCCTTTTGTGACTGACTTTTTTCACTTGACATAAGGTTTTCAAGATTCATCCCTGTCATAGCATGTATCAGGACTTCATTCCTTTTTATGGCAGAATAATATCCCATTGTATGGCAGAACTTGCTGATCCACGCATTAGTTGACAGGCATTCCAGTTGTTTCCATTTGGGGGCTATTATGAATAGTGCTGCTATGAACACTTATGCATACGTTATTGTGATGATATATGTTTTCATTCTCTTGGGTGTATAAACCTAGAAGTGGAATTTCTGGGTCATATGGTAACTCAGTGTTTAACTTTTTTTAGGGCCTGCCAGACTGTTTTCCAAAGTGGCTGTATCATTCATTTCACAGCCCCACCAGCAATACCATGAGAGTTCCAATTTCTCCCTGTCTCTAGTCAACACTTGTTAAGTGTCTTGGTTCTAGTGTCATCCTAGCAGGTATGAAATGATGTCTCATTGTGGTTTTGATTTATATTTTCCTAATGACTAATGATGTTGAGCATCTTTTCAGATGATTATTGGCCATTTTTAATCTCCTTTGGAGAAATGTATATTCAGATCTAAAAACTGTTTTTTAAAAAAAAAATGCCATTTCTCATGTCTGAAAATGTCACTGTTATCATTAACTTCTTTATAACACTTTTGCAACTTATGAAGCACTCTCACATTATTTCATTCAGTCTCCCTAGCACTCCCAGAAGGTAAGAATTAGATAATTTTTACAGATGAAGAAATTGAGACTCAGTGAAGTCAGGTATCTTATGGTTAGGTTTTGTTTATTCATTTATCAAATATTTACTGAGTGCCTGGAGTGAGATTTATTGAAATTGGATTTGAAAACAATTTTCCTGCATTCAAGTCAAGGGTTCAGTTCACTCTTCTCAATTACTTTATCACCAGGGTTATAAACCCAAAGGAAGTGTGTAGTAATAGTATGTTGACTTTATTGTTGAGGACCCATGTGACACAAGTCTCAGAAAGGTTTCAAGGTCATTTGTAAAGTTCAAGGTTACCATCAGCAGAGACAGTCCCACTCCCCTCTGTGCTTGCCACCCGATACACTGTCTCATTCTAGGTAATTCCACTCAACAGAGAAGGTGCGAAAAAAATGTATACACATTTTAAAAAAGGAAAAAATTGTATTAAAATTAAAAGATGAATATAAGTCACATTTGACTTCTGCAATTACAAGAGGTACCCAAAGAGGTTACCATCAGTGCCCAAACACTTAGATTTGGCAGACTAAAAGTAATATATAGATAACATCTATTAAAATGTGTTGATGAATTTTTCAACAAATGTTTAAGTTATTCAAAGTGGAATGTGACACTTACTAGCTATGGGGGTCTCAGATCAAGTTACTTAGCCCTTTTGAGCTTAGTTTTATCATCTGCAAAATAGAAATACAAAAGTGATCATGGAGATGAAAGAGAAGTATGAAAAAACAGACCTCATAGTAGTTTGGTTTCAAATGGTCTTTGATTAAACTTTAAACTCGGCATTTAAATGAGAAAAACTGCTTCTAACTCAAGGTTACAAGCTAATTATTCTTGGGAAGTAGTTTTCTTTCATCTGTAGTATATAATTTTACAGTTTGGTGTGAAATGCCTTCATTTATGAATTTGTTAGATGCTACCTACTTTATAGACCTGCCAGATTTAATCGGGAACGCTCAAGTTGTCCTTTGTCTCTAGCCCTGTCTCCCCAGCTTAAAAAAAACATACACACACAAAAACTAAATACTGCCTAAAATTCAAGTGCGCACCACAGCACAGACCTATGAGGACAGAACACCCCATGGAGGTCACAAAGGAATGCCTCCGGATGCCCAGAAAACACTAAAAACTGTTTTTTAAAAAATGTCATTTTAAATTAAATGCAGAGATAAACTGCTTATTACCATGTATTTATAGCTCTTCAAAATTCAGCTGCAGGTGACCCTATGACTACATTCTGACCTAGGAGATGAAAATGGAAGCTGTCAGGTAAAAGACCCCGAGAAACCCTTTTAAAGGAAGCTACCTAGAAAG